ACTTTCTACATTACTCTACATTACCATAAGACCAATTATAAAATTTTAAAATAGGCGGAACAAGCGAAATTTGATTTGGACGCCAATTGGCGCCTACAGCAGGGCTCGGATATTTTATCCCGCGGCCGGAAAGTGGGGACGACGCGACCATGGTGGGGACCAATAGTTGGTGGGGGTATGCAGTGATTTTCACGGTACCGCTGCGGAGAGCTTCGCGAACGCGCATGAGCACGCATGACGGGAATAGTAGTGGGGATCGAAATACGGGCGAAAAAGAGGGGAAGCGAACCGTGCGGGATAAAATATCCGAGCCCTGGCCTACAGTACCGGGAAGCCAATGTGTTTCGGACGCCAATAGGCGCCAACAGTAGTCAAAGGGTTAAAAATAATCGTCGATTAGGTGAAATTTAGGAACCTTGGGAATCGCGACGTTGGAGTTGATGATGGCTGTCAGAGCTGGTTACGTCTGCTGGCACTGGGGCCGTGGACCCAGTGGAACCTAAGCTTCCTATGCTAGCCATAGACCCCATGCTTCCATGGGACCCTAACGGGGCTGTAGGTGGCGCTGTTCGATCTTCCACAGGACTCGTCGCCTGACTGGACCCGGACATCGAGCCTCTCGACGTCGTCTTCGTCAGCATACCCGGTGGTCGACAATAAGCCTAAACATATTCACAGTACATGCCATGTTTAATATAAAGAATCACATATATAACAATTATTATATAATGAAGAACGTTGACAGAATGATCAGATCGTCTGACCTGCATCTTGGCGGTGACAAGGTCAGCGATGTGTCGTCGGTCTTCTTCTTGCGAGTCGCCCATTAAAGACAACGCGCTGTCGTTCACTTCGATTATGTATTCCCGGCCATCTTTGCCGACCAATAGTTCGATAGCGCAGATATCCAGCCCGCCGAACAGCTGGGAAACGTGGTCCACCCAGGCGCGGTGCCTCTCGCTCACGGCTAATTGCTCCAACATCGCAGAACCAGTGTTAGACTTCCAGTTTCCGCTTATGCTCTTTCGCCTGGAAAGAAACGACAAATGGACAAATTGTTATAAATCAAGAAAATGATTAATATAACAAATTCGACTTTGCTGAAGAACCTTAGCATCCAAAACCACTCCAACTTGCATACAAAATGAATAACTAATATAAATTGGGGTAGTCGAGGACTCTGCGATGGACTTACATGAACGCTTTGTAGTTATTGCCTATTTTTAGCACGTGGACGTCGTATTTGGTGTCGACGTATGGCTCCGATGTGGAATAAGTGTTCGCCAAGGCGGCCAACGATGCGAGATCTAGAAATTCTTGATTCGTCTCGGCTCGAGCTTTACCTACACCGCCGTGGGCGTGTCCAAGTTTCACCACGACCGGGTAACGAGCTGCACTCACCTGGAACAGGCGAAACAGTACTCAATTAAGTCTCACATTACGTTCGACAATTGATTATAGCATATCTTCAATTAAACCATCAAATTATGGTTGTAATAAGAAACATTGGAAGTATTTAGGGCATTTTTTTTAAATATTGCAATTTATTAACAAGTATTGCAATGTCAATCCTGAAAATTGAATTCCCAAATGGTTGCACAGTCTAATTGTTTTATTTATTGTACTGTTTAATCAGGAATCGGTTGCAGCGCACGATTCTCCAGTACAGTTTCACGGTGATCGAGATAAAGGAAAGGGTAAAGGCCACGTAAAATGTGAACGCTCTCCCGGTTATCCCGTTAGCATAGATAACCAAGGAACTCCACGTTAATAGAAAAAACGCCTAGCCTAAGTGGATGATTCCAACTAAGTTCTATCTTAATCTCTCATTCTCATTTTTCCCAGAAATTCCTTAGAACAAATTTGTAAATGTCCACCAGACATCAGAGGTCATTTTTAATAATCTCCTCCATTTTTATTGGACATTCCGTTTGTGTTAAAAATTATTATTAAATTCTTGAATGTTCCGATGTCAATCGCGAAGCGAAGCGCTTCGGACAGAAAAAAAGGAAGTGATCGTTGAACGAATCTGATGGACGCACGTCCGGCCGGTACCAGCGGTGTGCAGTCGGCTACCGACCGATCTACTTATTAAAACGGAGACGAGCATAATCTTGCCAACGGTCCCATAAATATAACGTCGCCTGATTATCGAAAAAAATCCGAATACCTGCAATTTCTGCAGGCAAATATTCTATCATCGTTACGTTCTCCGGCGACAGCCGGCGATATGAATAATTCATGATACTAATTAGTCGATATTCCCGTGTGTGTGTGTCATCGTTCCCCTTTGCTCCAACTTTGCCGATTCTGATAACGCTCGGTATCTAACCGCGATAAAAGGAAAATCATACGTCGCCTTGCCAAACTAGAATTCATTAACTAGTTTCTAAATTAAGATGTTCGAACAAACAGAGAATGTCAACGTGACAATAACAGTAATCTAATCTCACCTCTGATAACGAGGGAATAATAAATTTTGTTAATGCGAGAATTAGAATTCAGGAATTCATTTATGTATTTATATGTATTATATATATATAGATCGTGTATATATTCGTGTGTCGTGAGATTACGAGTGTGATTATGGTACATGTGGCTAGCACTCATTGAAATCAAGGAGGTAACATACGGTTACATATAGAGCCTACCGTACCCAACTAGCCTACGATGATAACCCGCTCTTAAGTCTATCGTTAACTTACGCTATTTTCGTTACACAGAGACACTGATTAATTATCA